AGGTGAGAGGATGGTGCAAACAGATCAGGCAGCGTTCTGCTCTGCTGTCCACAAGGTTGCTAGGAGTCGGAATCCCACTGGACACCACTAACAAACAAAATTCTCATCCAACTTTCAAATATGTCCCAAAAACCTACATTTACTGATTTGATAATGTAGAATAAGTTTAAAACCATACTTTCTTCTTACAACCTCAGAAAGTTGACCAGGGCTAACCTCTTCTATAATGACTAAGTTAGCATATGTATTAAATTGGCGATTTTCACAGCATCGGTTTGCTGCTTTAGCTCATGATCTTTTCACCTCCATGCCAAAAGACAATTTACTGATTTCATGATACTGTGAGAAATCACTTAATTCCTTGGTAGCCCACAGATATATTCCAGAAGGAAAATTTTCAGCCTTTTCAGATTTCAGTTATCTACCTCCACCCCCTAAATCTGTAAAGATAAGTGTTTTGTATACATTTTAGTCATTGAGCAGGTAAAAATAGCACATATTAATATTTTATATAAAATAGTAGTAAATCATCAAAATAAGACAATATTCTTACATTAAAAACCTTAGCATACATAACTATCAACTTGAGTATACAAAGAATGAGATATACCAGAGCAGCTTCATTTAATGATTTGTTTTCTGAAAGATAAGGGACTTATTTGTGTCCCTGCAGCTGGACTATTAGTTATCATTTTCCTTCTAAGTTTAATCAACTTAAAAAACTAACAGCATGTGTATTTTAAAGATAAATACATTAACAGCAGGTATATTTAAAATGCACTATAGTTAAATGGTGCTTAGAAGAGCCAAAAAAGAAAAAAGGAGAGGTACTGAAACTTGTTTTGCATTCTAGTCGAAATGAATATTACTTGGTCCAACTGGCTGACCAAGGACTTCCACAATGAAAAATAAAAAAGAAAAGAAGAGTCATCTAAGCAGTAAAGTCTCAGTAGACAACTGTACTGGTGAAACTCACTATTTAGTTATTAAAAATAAAACATTGATAATTACACTAAGAAATATTAGAAAATCATCAAAGAAAAAGGTGATGAGTATGTAAAAAATAATTAAACGAAGGGAGAAAGCTAAGTACACTAATCAGCATTACTGGATGATAATATCATATGAGAATAGTCTGCTTAAAAAAAAAAGGACTGGACTACATGTGGTGTTCTTTCTCATTTAGAGAGAAAGAACAATAGAGACTATTTTGGCTGAGATAAGAATAGAAGGAAGTAGTCTGTTCAGGGCTATTAGAACCTCAACAAGAGAGTTAAATTCACTTTAAGAATTAACACTTACATAGCTTACTTGCCTCTTCATGAACATTTCGATCAAGTTACAAAAAACTTTTAAAAACTGGAGCTAAAAAGGTAATGAGACAGTTCAAATAACAACTTCCTGTCACAAACTGGTATACCTCATTCAAATGAAATGTCTTTCACCAAAAGAAATAAAGACATAATGACAGCTCCCCTTAGTTTAAAAGGTCATATAAGACCTAAATATAAAATCTGCTCACTAACTGGTTAATAAATACAGGTATACCCATATGATGAAATGCCTCATAACTAAAAAAAAGAATGAAGAAGCTCTTTATGTACTGATGCAAATCAACTGCTCAGCCATATTAAGTGGAAAAAAAGCAAAACATAAGACAGTATATATGGTATACTAGCATTTGTATAAAAAGTGGGGAGGAGAGTACATACATATTTGCTTGTGTATGGATAGATACCTCTGAAAGAACAAATAAGAAATTGTAACACGAGTGACTGGGGGTGGGGGTACACACGACTTTTTGCTATATTTTATACGTTTTGAATTATGGACTATGCGAACAAATTAATTAAGAAATAAAATTGGAAATATTCTTCCATTACTTCACCAGGTGTGATCTCTTTTTCCTTTGATTGCTTTCTTATGACACATGTTCTGCCTTATTAGTCACTGTGTCCCTAAAAGTTCCTGGAAGGTACAGATAAGACAGGGTAATTCATCTTGGGATTCGCTGCAGCTTCTGCCCAGTCTTTTAAACATGGTAATAATAATGATGATGAACAATTTAAAAAATAATAAGAAACATTTGTTGAGCACTTATGAAATGCCTGGCATTAAATATGTATTAACTTATTTAATCCCCACATTTCTATGAGGTAGTTATTGTACATTTATGACCAAGGAAAGTGAGGTATGAAGAAACTTGCCCAAGGCTCCATGGCTAGGAAGTTAAAATAAAGCTTAAAAATGAACAGCTATCATTGAGTCCCTAAGGAGCTGCTTTATAATTATGTCACAATCCTATAAAGTAGGTGGTTTAAAATTATTCTAATTTAACATATAAGGAAACTAAGGCTGAGAAAGATTAAGAAATTTCCTGTAGGTCACAAAATTCCTTGAGGGCAGGCATATGACAGTAATGGCAACAGTAGATTCAAACCCAGGTCTGTGATTCCAAACCCAATGCTCTTTCCACTAACTACATTGCGTCACAGTAAGCGCTAACTCAATACCTGAATTACCACAAACTGTTGTCTCAAGTGATACTGCAGTAGAGATGAGCTCACACATGAGTAAGAAAAAAAAAGTCCTGCATTTTTTCCATTCTCTGACTATCTACTAGATCCTTAAATTGAGATTTCAGCTCTCACTATTCAATAAAGAAGCCATCACTGGAAGTGACACTATATCAAGATGCTTACAAGACTATGTATGTCACAGGCTGGCTATAAACAAGTTTATATAACCATATCAGATAAGACATTTATGGAATAAATGAAATTATAAATTTCAGTGATACATTGTAAGCATTAAGTTACAAGTAAATAGTTTTTTCTACTGTGGAAAAAAAGAAAAAAGATTTTTTAAATGAGGCGAAGTGGGGGATACGTACTTAGTTTTACTATAACCACATTATACGCCACAGAACAAAATGCTACCTCTTACAACGAGAGGCAAAATACAGCTGCTTCTCTATGAAGAAATGAATTTCTATTAATCAGATCTAACCAAGAAAACGAATTTCAGAAAACAGAAAAAGGGAGGTACCATTTTACAGATCAGGTTTCTAAGGTTCCTTAGCCTCGTATGTGAAAAAAAACAAAAAAATTCAAAATGGGTACCACTAGAATTTTAAATTCCACAAGAAGTGCCCTTTTAACATTTTTTGGTCAATTTGTGTCAAAGATTCATTTGCTTTGTGAATACATGTGTCCATAAAAAAAAAAAAGGTTCAAGCAGATTTAACTGTAATTTTTACTGATCCCTGGGAAGGAGCAGAAGTATAATTTAGTACCATGCACCAAGTGAATATTCAAATATTAATTAATTTAAAAGTTTGAAAAGGTTCACCTGGAACTGCTAAGAATTACAGATTATGAATTTATAAATAAGATAAAATTTAAAAGAACTTTTGGACAAAACTGAAGAAAGAACCCATCAGAATTTTTTTTTTTTTAATTTCACAAAGGAAGCGTCATTGCCATATATTCTCTCTAAGGGGAAAAAAATTCTAGTCAACTGATGCTGGCTTGCAGAGAATCTTTCTTAAGGAAAAACAGTCAACAGAGCATCGTCAATACTATAATTTCCTCAGTGTTTGGAAATAAACCCATCTTCCCAATCCTTATGGAAACATTCTCTTTATTACATCTTAATTAAGTTTCTCAGCAATGACAAATTGCTAATTTGGCTTTTTAAAGACTTGCAATACAGTAAAGTAGATTATGCAAAAGTGATTTGGATACAGAGAAAACAGAAAACAGTGCATCTGTTACCAATATTTATTCCTAACAAGAAACTTTGTATGTATCAATCACAATTTTATCATACTGTGATACGTTAGTATGTTTAAAACAAGTAACCTGTTTACCTTTCGCATCACCTAAAATAACCGTTTTGCTTTCACTTTCCAATCACGAAGCGTGCAGTGAGTGTAAAAGATTCCAATAGCTGGCAACCAAAAGTATCTTTTATGCTAAAGCTTCAGAGGACAGAACTGCCGCGAGCTCAGGCAGATGAAATTCTAACTTCTGGAGAAGGGAAGACAAACTTAACTGGGTCATATCCCAGGTCCTTTGAAAACTGTCTTTTCATCTTGCACGTGTCACTGAGTTTCCGATGTGCCTTGCTCCCAACAGGCAGAGAAAACGCGCCTTGCGGGTCAGACTGCTGTCGGTCTCGGGCCGGGGCTACCTACCGCGTGTGACCCACAGGGACGACCTCAAACGGCCGTCTCCGGAGCCAGCGCTGGCGGTGTGCGCCCGGAGCGGGGGCCGCGGGCACGGCCCGGCGCGGGGCCG